AAATTTAAGTCAATGACCACCTCAGATTTTAAAGAAACTACAGTTTGTGATAATAAGAAACTCGTTTTGAGGCTTATCTTAATATAAGTTCGATTTTGTTTTTTAATAAGTTACACTAGATAGTGTCATCAGTGTGATTCGGTACGTAATGTGTTCGTGAAGGATACGTTAAGAACAAATGAACTAAACATAAGAAAAATTCGAGGAATCACATTTTCTAACATTTTCGTTACTGAATTCTTCATAAGTGTGTGTGTGTGTATATATTATATAATCGGTCAATCATACATTACATATGGTAGTGTCGTATTGATCTAAACCAAATATCAAGTTATGTATCAACCAACGTAAACCAGTGGGAGCTTGCGGGTACGATAATCTCTTCGAGCAAGGCTACGGTTTAGAGACGACGGCTCTAAGCACGGTTTTGTTCAACAATGGAGCCACTTGCGGTGCATGTAAGAATATTTATATTTTTATGTGACCTATGTGTCTTTCGGTTTAATTATTAAAAATCAAGTTCATATTAAGGTTAATAATTCTAATATAAAAGACGACACCATGATGGATTAGTTTCGATTAAAGACATTAGAATTTGGGTGTATTAATAACCCTCCTCCCTTACCTTAATATATTATATAAGTATCTCTCTCTAATGTTATATGTATTGCATTAGTAGTTAATACATAATTAAGTATTACTACATGTGGATAATGCTTTGTATAGAGACATATAAGTGACGGTTATAATAAAGAGACGTGGCCTTTCATGTGTTATAAATACACACGATTGAATGTGTGAAAGAAAAGTGAGAACGAAAAGTGAGAACAAAAAGAGAGAACGTTGACCGTACGTAAAGTGAGAGAGAGAGAGGAGGTTTTGATTCCTTCTCCATCAAAAGAAATCGAAAAGATTAAGAGGTCAAAGGGAGGAAGAGATCAATTGGTGAATTGATTCCATTTCAAACCTATTAAGCAATGGATCAAGGTTAGTATTTRTTCTTCTACAAGAAAGTYTTTGTGGTTGAGTTAAATTGAATCTAGATGATCTTGGAATAGATTTCATGATTGAAATCATTAAGAAAACATATTTACATGTGGTATCAGAGCCTATCTAGATTTGTTTAATTCACCATAATTGATCGAACGCATGATTAGAAATCAATGTTACGGTTACGGCTTAGAAAATCGATTACGGTGTTTTGATATTCTGGGTTTTCTCCGTTGACGGTTAATGCATATCATGTTCATGTGGAAAAGTGACGATTAAAATTAATGAATATAAACATGTTSGAATAAAGAATTTTAGTCTTGCATGGATTCATGATTGAGTGCWTTCGTAATCGGTGCATGAATTTTTAACCGCCGGTTTATTTAAGTAGTGATGTTTCTGTAAAATCACGTAGGATTGCATTATTGTATGCATGAATTGTTAACCGCAGATTTATTTAAGTGCATCGCATGGTTTTATGGCACATTTAAACGTTTGATATTTTATTAGTTTAAAATATTAGTAATGAAATTAAGATGCTTCCGCTGTTTGATTAAAAATAGGGTAATTGTGTTATGAAATATTAATACAATATAAAAAAAATTTTACCCCATTAAATTTTTAATGTTTATATTGTATATGACATGTTAGTCACCAAAGTGGCCTTGTTATATCATATATAAACATTGAAAACTAAAATATTTTTATTAATTGATCAAGATTAAAGAGATGCTATAAATGACATAAAATTTTTTATTGATCAATTATGTTATTATCTATATTTTGGAGATCACCCAAAGGTGGATCATTAGATATAGTTAATGATACGAAAAGGATTAATCGTTTATTACTAAAGTCAATAGTATGTATACCCAAAGGTAGCATGCTTATTGATTTTGTATGCTATGATTAATTATAAAAGTTTAAAATTAGCATCAATGAAAGTGCTTGTGTTTAAGTATTGCCCAAAGGTTACTTAAATACATGCTTCAAAGTTTAAAAGCCTTCTATGAATCTGTATTAAAGTTTCAAAACACTAATGGGTAAGCATGTGTAAATGCTTGCATCTTCAATAAATTTGTTTGCATCTGCTAACTCTGTCATAAAG